TCGAAAATTGTTGTTAAATGTTTAGAACCATTGATACTGTTTTATCGAACTAATATGCTCGGTCTGTTAATATATGTATACGCCGTATACGTATTGCTGGTATAAAGGTACACAACGTCCAGTAAGAAGATCGAATACATCTATGTAAACAAATGGTTATACGATGTATTCATGATAATTTAAAAACTGTTTGAACAACATTAAATCGAAAATGACATATCCGTTCGGCCGCATAGGATATAATCGATTCAGTTTGAAGATCAGAATAATAAACAGATACAGACAATTTTCGTTCCCGCCGACCGTCCGCGAAGGCCGAAACATTCTGAAACGTTTATCTGATTAATAATTCGATAACAATATTACGAAACCGGCCAGTGCGGTGCACTGCACACGTGTATGAATAATAAATAAATCGTAAAAAAAATGTAAAGTCCAAAAAAAATTATGTACACATACGAAATAGTGTAGGTACAAATAATATACGTGTCATCAAAATACTACGCGTGCGTGCGTTGTGTTATAATACAACATCGTCACCCAGGGCCGTATTTAGCATTTTGTCGTCTCTCTTTCCTAAAATACAAAACTTATGACAAGTATCTTCAACTATTCATTAGAAATTGGTTTGCAACGCCCTCAATTCATTTTCCCCTTTTCAGTACACAATTACACAATATTTGTAATTAATTAAAATCCAAAATAATAACCGAATTTTGATTATCTAAAGAAAGTTATAAAAAATTGTTTTCTATAAGATTGATTAGTGGTAGGTACTCTGAATGTCCCAAATCAAGATTAAATAAATCTCTATATTTCAATAAAATATCATGTAAAATAAAATACTCTTAACAGTAATTAATAATTTGTATATGTTATTAAATAATATAAATAATTTTACAATATTACATTTATTTTTCATATAATTCTGTTTATCATTTATACATAATTTTCCATCCAGAAAGCGAAGAAATCGATGTGTTTTTATTTAGAATCACTGTAAACGTTTTGTCTTGATTTCGACTCAATAAGTCATTTCTATCTTTGACCAGATTTTTATTATGATATTATGTTGTTAGTGACGTAGCAACGGGGCGAAACTTCAAAATGCACTTTTACGTATTTTTAATTAGATATTATTTTCCATGGTTGTACTAAATAAAAATGCAATATCATAACTTCATTCGTTGTAAATAAAATATTCAACATTGACCGTTGTGATTTTAACTTAAAATGCAAATTTTTCATTTTTGCGTCCTTCCGGGAATCGCGCCCGGGCCGTAGACATCTCTCGCTGCACCCCCTCGCGATGGCTCTGCGCGTTGTTTACCCGATACGCGGAAGAGAGAAAAAAATAAACTACATCGGTGGTACTCTGCAGACGACAGTGTATATCTACTGAAAATCAATGCGGAATCCGAATCACCCCTCTAACCGATTGATACGATGCGTACACGAATGTAACATAGTATATCTCAATTCACCGTAACTGTTGATTCGAACCTTTCACGCGTCCGATTCGCACGTACGCACGTGCTCAATGCGAAAACCGATCGCCCTATTGTAATAATCGTGGCCGTTCTGTGTACACACTAGTGCACCCCCCCCACTCGCCCCTGGTTCTTTTCACTTTATCGACGTCCCCGCACACGGGACCGGCACATCCACCGGCGAACACGGACACTACATTTTTTTTTTTTTGTTTACGCATACATCCGTACTAAATGCACCCTATACGCCGACTTCAATTTATCGCCTTCACCCGTTGCACCTGTATTTACTTACGGTATGCACCAACGCATTTACGGGTCATTTAATTTACATTATTCGCTTTAGTTTCGATAACTGTACCTCGTACGCATGATGAAAATCCAGTGAAGATGATTTTTTCAAACGTACCGAAGCCAATAGTCGAGTAGTTCCTTATGGGATATTAAGCGAAATTGAAAATTTCTATATTATACGAGCTTCAGTCTTGTTCAATGTTAATTAGTCATTATGCGATGAAAGTTTAGATTAGAATTTCGTAATTGTCGAGTACTAAAATTAATTTTTTAATTTTTTTTCATCTCCATCGAATGTTACGTATTACAATATTATTTACTTGAACTCTAATATGAAATAGATAATAGAAAATATAACAGTTGAGAATATTTTTATTTTATTTATAATTCTCACATTAAATGTCTAATTAATTAGCGGTAATACTTTTAAATCCTTGTAACTTGATTTTCGCACGATTTTATAACACTTTCCTGTTACAATGAGTTATCGCTAAATCCAAAATCGGTTTTTTAAGAACTACCTATGTGATCACCATCGGGCGACACTTTGTTTCGCCTCAACGGTCCTAATACTACCGGCCGATTTATATTCGTGCATTCCAACTTCAATGTATAACGAACAGAACCGTAGGTACTTCGGTAATGAATTCTTTGAATATTCCATGAAAATAATGATATTGTTATTGATGTAATATGAAGAGTAAACAAATAATTTGAATAATAATCTCATTTATTAATTGTAATTTAATATAATATAATGAAATATATATTCTTATATACTATTGTATTATATACTATTATTTTTATATACTAGTATATTATATAAAGAAACAGGCCTTTTTATAATTCTATGTACTATGTTTCGTACGACACTATTGAATATTTTTAGGATATTTCTTCACAGAGTTCATAAAAAAATGTTGATCGTTGTTTTCTAATCAAAACGAAATTACAAAAGCCACTATATTGAATAGTTCATTAATATATACCGCCGCATACCTTGTCTATAAATGTATAAAAAAATTTAACTATCATCTGTGCCGAAATAATTTTTTAACTATAAAAAATTTAAATTAAAAAATCAAATTCTTATAATAAATAGGAATTATAGTACCTTTGAAAATGATAATATCGGACCTACAGTATCCTCTAGTTATTTCAATAAAATAATTAATCATATTTTAAATATTCTTGAAAAATATTGCTATAAAAAAAAAAAACTTTGTTTTCAATTATGACAAAAAATAAAAGTGGAAGTTTTAATTAATCAATGGTTAAATGGTTATGATTGTAAAGAACATAAATTATTCATCATTGAAAAATTATTAATCTGTAAAATATTTAAAAAAAAACTCAATCAATTTCTACTGCAATACCACTAACTAAAATGTCAAAAAGAAAAATTTTAAATCATATTTAATTTCATAATTCATTGCCTTTTTATATTTTTTATTGCATATGTAATGTTTGTATTATTATGATTGCGTTTTTATTTGAATTAATAATAATATTATTAAGTTTTTGTTTTATGATTTTATTTATTTATTTGAATAAATATTGTTATAATAATTTCCGGGTTTTTATTCTTGTACCTTAATTAATAATTTATGCTTGTTCAGCTTGTTTTATTCGGAAATCTATATTGATTCATGTACTACATGAATGTACTATATGAATTATAAAAGTATACCAGCGATGTTGTATTATATTATATCTGGCACAAAGTGTAGATGATATCATCTACAATTTAAATTCGAAATATATACAAAAAAAAAAAACTATCCACATAGCTGAAACTGTAAAGATGTTATAATTAGCTATATAATTATTTACGTATAATAAACTTATTGCTTTAATTTAATTCTTTGGTTTGTATGAAATAAATGTAAAGCCCTCCCAACGAACTTCTTCACGAGAAGAGCTTAGATTAAAATGATATAAACAATACATTCTGTCACTTATTATACGAGTTTGAACCAGGGGCGTATACGAGGGGGGGATGTGTGGGTCAGATTCCTCCCATTGGTCTTTTTAAAATTGTATAAAATAGTGTTCTTAATGTAAGGAAATTATAAGGAAACAAAAAAAAAAAAGAATTGCAAGGATTTATTGTAAATTATTGTTTTGACACATTCAATATATATATATATATATATATATATATATATATATATATATATAT